TTATTGATGGTTATTGATGGTTACTGCGCGGTGGCACTGAAAAGGTGCACACGAGAAATTAGTATTTCGCCAGAGTAGCGTTGGCTGGTAAGGGCTCTAAGCTCAAAAATCTGAAGTCTCATGCCCACGCAGCATGACCCTTTGCCAGACTATTATAGCACCTCGATCAACAGAGCCATCACGTTCGACAATTTTTCTCAGGGAGTTGCGTGTTCCCAGCTCTTGTCACATGGGGGCGCATCTAGAATCACTACTAAGACCGAATCTGTTCCCATCCATAATAATCACGCGATTCCATTCCCCATCAATCCATTCACTATGCTCGTGGCACCACCTAAACTGTCTCGCCGTTGAACGAGGGTAAAAGAAACCCAACGTAATAGTCGTCAGGCGAAGAGAGCGCCACCTACCGAGTGAACAGTGCAGTCGTCGTGCTACTGTAGAGCATGGAATGGTTTGCCTTCAAGTCCTGTACAATGTCATTGCCATTAAGAAGATTATTGATGTGGGTCTTTTTCTGGCTGCTGCACAAGTTAGTGGTCAGCATTTGGCGTACCACCGCAGTACTGATCTTGGACCACTGCCCCCTCTCTTTCCGACAGCACCAAGAGTTCGGAACGCTCTCCATGCACGTGAAAGAGTACCGAGCGTTTGGGCCACACTTGTCATGGTTTAAACTTCTTCTACATTCCTGACGATTTTTCCCCTGTGTCAAGTCACTGCGATAATGTCTGCGAAACCCGTTGTTTTGAAAGTTACCACCACACTACGTTGTAGCTACGCGATGACAAACACCTCTTAAAGTCCATCTGCTGGTTTGATTTGCGCTGACAGCCATACTTCGACAGCCCTCTCCAAACTCCTCTTCCATGTTTCGTCCACTCCTTCACCATGTTAAACGCTTACCTCACATTATCTTTAGTTGTACCACTCGAGCGAGCGCCAATAGCGTTTTCAATTGTCACTGTCCGAACCGGAGTAGCTCAGTGGACAGCCCTTGCTTGTGGGAACCAGAGCATAGCATTCATCCTTTCGTTCAGAGCTTTTACGAAGAAGTCTGACCATTGGACTGGCTGTCGTGCTAATGTTTGTTTGACATCTGAGAATCCAGTCATTAACCACCCTAGTTCTAAGTTCATTGTGGAATCAGATGACGTGTTATGGTCTTCGGTATCTCCGCGCAAGCAACGATGTCCCTTATCTTCGTTTGTTACCAGAAATCAGAACTCACAATCGGCCGGGAATCTCCAAGTGTTGTCCTCTGTACGGCACTTTGAATGACGCTGATTCCATGCTCATCCTGGCTGAACAGAGCTCAAGTCTTCGATGCGTGCGTCAAAGTAGGAAATTCGGCATCGTCAAAACGATGGGACTTTCCTTGTCTTCTTCACTACTCCCTCGATGCCCTTGAATGATCCCCACGTCGTCATGTTGTCTTCGCGCCCAGATAGTCGACGAAAAGGACACAGATTTGAGCGTAGTAGGAGTATGAGGAACCAACTCGTTTCTTTTGCAAATTGTCTCCGTTAGATTCGAACTCAAGCCAATTTTTCCACAAAAAATGTCAGTTTCGCCAACATATGCTTCAACTCTTCGATACTGGCGAAAGAATATTGTCGCTTGCAAAGCGAAGATGGGCGTCGACCTTCGCGCCTGTCTTCATGTCGCATGTCTTCAGATTTCAAGTGACGCATGATGATTTCGATAGCTTTAGGCACTGAAAATTTGGTGCGAGATAGTATCGCCCTGCCAAACCCCTCTTTTCTTATTTGTGACAAAAGCCTTGTAGAATTTCGAGATGCTGGTGAAGGGATTGTTATACATCCCTCGGAGTATACTTACAGGTTGATCAAGCACACCCTAGTAATCCAAGGCTCGGATTACCGCTTTTGTATCGACGGCGTCAAATTTCTCTATCTGTTAACAATAGGGTAAGGCCTCTCTCCAATGCTTGCTCGCACGGTTGTCCTTCGTCTAGTTTTCTGCCAATCCTGTTAAGGATGACCTTTGTCATATGGTTTTCCCTTCTTATACAGTAGCACAGACTTGCTTAATTTTCGCGGACACGTGAAGCCCAGAAGAAGAGATGTAGGGAAGTGATCACAATGAAACTCTCCGAAACCAAGGTAATGGCAGAAGGTGCGGTGTATAGAAGAAGAGGCAACGACACACGAGAAAAGTGGACCCTGAAAGTGAACGGAGGAAGAAGGTGAAGCAGTTATGGAGCAAGCCAGGCTATTTTAAGGTGAGCAGTAGGCTTGTACAGTTGACACGACAACGACTCTCCTCTTAATCCCTAGCCATTTGATTGCCAGTTTTAGGATGAGCATCATGCAGAATAACAACAGCGATCACGAATTCGTTTCAACGGCGTTTTTGAGCAAGAACCAGCAGCTCTTGCGCAATTTATTTCCCATTTGTGGTCAGATCACGTAGATCTACTAGCCACTTGCTATAGATCCACGTAATCTAACGACATATCGCTTGAAATACTTATAAGTAAATAAATACTTCTAATACGGTCACCTTGCAATCAGCTATTATGGGTTGATCGGCTTTAAAAGCCCGAAGTAAAAGTAATCGAGACCGTCACAACTGTGGAGCCAGGGTGGTGTGATGGAAATGGTGAGGCATATGAACTACTGAGCACACTTGCTGTTACTTCTCTGGTAACTACCACTGCCTCAGAAGGACTAAGATGTGGCCTTTCGGGAAGGAGAAGAGGGGTTGGGTGCTGTGTGAGAAAATCAGCGTAATATTCGCACAGGTCGGCTGCCTAAAAAGTGAGGGGCAATAGCAACTCCATTGGTATCAAGCAAATCTTTATGTCACTGAAACTTCAATACAGCACATGATTGATGAACATACGTTGCAGATAGTGTTTGACGAATTTTCTGACTCCAAGGCCATGATTGCGTCAGGTTTACTCAACGAGCTGAAAGCATCGGCGCGTAGTGAGTGTTTCTTCCAACTTTGTATAATTGTTTCATTCATGGAACCAAAATTGCTACAATCACATTACTTCAAGAGTAGAAGACATAACAGTTCGATGATAAAAACATAGTTCTCATATATGAGTGCGCATGCTCTTTGCAAATAATCGTACATAGTGTCGTGGTTTCGTCCGATAGTGATACAATACCAGCCAAGGTCTGCAGAATAGCTGTTTTCGGACAGGTGCATGTTCAGTGCCACTGTCTGTCACGTTCGCAACATTCTCGCATCCTTCGCCGAGCCTTCTGGAGATGGTTAAGTTGATTAGTTGTGAAGCAGTGTAGGATAGTTCCGACTTCCTTAAACGTGACTCACGTCATTCAGAAGGCACTCAAACTATGTCGTAATAGCTTTAAATGGATTTTATCCATCCTCAGCTCCTTATTTCAAGTTCCTGAAATAAGGGGCTAAAGTATAATAAGATGAGTCCAATTCTTATTTACGAATCTCATCAAGGTGGCATCAAGAATCCCTTTCCTTAAGAGTGATCAACGAAATACCATTTTCTGTTCTATTGCTACGAAAAATTGAGTTGAAAAAACATAACGGACAGGAGGACAACATGGCGATGGATCACTGAGGGTACGTATTAAGTGGGCAGACATCCCTTCGTCACGTAGTTTCGCTTTCGAAGGAATGCTGTGAAACCAGCGGCGACGGGGTAATCATGTGCTTGGAGTGAGGAGCTGTGGACTCAGAATGTGAACATCCCTTTTTGGTGTATTAAGCCGAAGTATCATTTTTCCTCTTGCAAATGCTCGGATTCATAATGAGAAAGCCACGGGAAACATTATAATTTTAGTTGTTATCTGCCTCTTCTCTAACACACGCGAATCGTCGCGCCACTTTTTGACGGCGGCTAATTCGCAGGGCATGAGTGTGAATGAATATGCTTACATCCTGCCTTGGTTACAGGTGAGTGAAAAACTATGGAGATCAATATTTGAATACGTGCTTTTGTGACCTGCGCTTCCATAAACAGTTACATTTTATTGAGAAGTTCTGAGAAAGAGGTTCAGGATGGAGCCAAAGAGAGCGCACCATGGATCAGTGCCGACGGAAGTATGATACAGAGAGTCAAGGATCAGTACGCCAATGCCATAATTGTGAGGGTTTCCGGTGCTTTTCGAATTCATAGCATTATGAGTGAGATCCGAGGGGCTCCGTAAATGGTTCAAAGGTATAAAAGTTCCGACTGGCGCTTTTGGTGACCAGCATGAAAATCCTAAGTGGGCTCCTTAAGTTCTACCCAATAATCGTAATGGTTCATTCTATTTCCAGATAGACGACGTCAACAGTTTTGACAATTCCATTATCCAACCTTTCATAGACAGAGTAAAAGAAGCTGGACTTACGGAAGCCGATGTGGATATTGTGAGTTGGCTGCTTCCAAGAAAAACACTTTTTGCTGCCTTGAAAAGGGAAGGAAGAAAATGGATATCCTGAGATTTTAATTTGCACACTCCCTCTAAAGAATTAGCTGATAATGACATATTTCTTTTCTCGTACATCCCTGTTCAGCAAAGTGGACAGCGAATTTCTCTTTGAATTGCTAGCTCTCACGCGAGTAGTTCACCTCTAGCATACGAAAGAATTTAGTTCATAATTGCTGTCACTCATCAACGTTCCAAACGCATCGTATTGCTCTGAAGTACTGGCACTTTGTCCTAGATGAAACCTGACCAAATGCTATTCAAATAGTTGTTCCGGTGCAGGAAGCCAAAATGCACTCTCGAAAAATCAAATTTCCGAATAATTCAGGCCAACGTATATGGTTACCTAAATCTGTTTGATTCCCTCAAACTATACGCTTTGGCTGCAAGGAAAGCCATGAATGAAACTGGTGGAGCGAAGAACCTTGTCAATGGGCGAAAAATGTGGAATATTATGCGGAAACTCAAGTTCTCAGGTAAATGCAGCGGTTGTCGACTACCATCTTCTGAGAAACTATCTTTATAGAAGAGGATATCAAGTTTGTGCTTGCAGTGACATGGCTGTTTTCTCGATAAAAGGTCGTTTGGGAGAACGAATGAATCGCTTTTACAGGTATGCTGGGTTCATCGGGTATCGCATCCGGAGTTGTGACCATGGACGATCGAGCCGAGAGGGCACCGTTGTATCGCGGTTTCTTCGTATCTCCAAATTCGGATCAGGTAAGGGTCGAGTATCGTTTCTAGTAGATTACAGAATAGTATAGAAGTAGTGTACAAGTAGAAATATAGAAGAAATAGTAGTACGAAGCATCATCGTTTGAAATTTTTCAGAAAGAAAATTCACTCGCGCAGAAGGTCCTTTTTTAGCATACATACATGTTCACGTGACGTTTGATTACATAACAACAAAATTGAATGAGAGCAACTTCGAATTACGGTATGGCGAATTCCAGGTATCGTCGATGGTTCATATGGAACCTACAATCGTACAGAACTGTGACGGGCTGCTCAACAAAAGCGGTTGCTACGATATTGTGAGTCTCGACAGACTATGCTCACCAAAATCAAACATGAATTCATGGAAACAAAAGTGGATAGTAAGAAATGACATAAGAAATTGTCGTTAATTCTTTAAGGTGGTAACTGATCTTATGCGTGATTTTTGGCCGTCAGCCGACAGACGCATGCCGAGGGACGAGCCTAGCTGTGGATTTCGTGGAGAACGCTGTGACTTCACTTTGGTCATTATAGGATTAGTTCTCATTGCCCTGTTGCTTCTCGGGATCTGTTTCGCATACGGCATTCACCGAATAGTGTGAGTCACAATAAACGCCTCCGATGTTCTTTTAAGGAATCATGCCCTTTGAGTTTCGCCATCAATTCTACAATTTGTTTAAGGGAAAAAAGAGCGCTCGACAAGTTGCCATTCCGCGTTTATCGCGATGATATGCAATTTATAGACGAAGAACAGCTCAAAAGCATGGTAATTTTTATTTGATTCAATTATGATTGTGATTGCTTTACGTAATGAGAGTATGATGACTTGAGAGCGGCAGCAACGAGTGGGTGAGGTAGACGCTGGAGTGGAAGAACTATGCCAATGGCCCAATAGATACGGGGCGATAGATTTTTTTGATTTAAATAAGTATTGAGTAATAATGTTGTGAACCCTTAGAAGACAATCCGCATTGATCACGACTCCTTTCTGTCGTGCGCCTTCCTTTGGACAACGGCACCCACCGGTGGATGCTAGTGACTCAAGAGGAGGTCCTTCTAATGGTCTTACCAATTCTAGCGTTATATCCCGTATAATAAATGGTATCGAGATCTTGTCTCATTCATTATATAGAATTAAAGTTAAGAAATTGAGTTCTGGTCTGGAAGCAATGTAGGATAGAATTTCGGAAAAAGTAAGGAGTAGGAGATCGTATACGGAACAAGGCCCTTGAGGATCAATTTTACCCAGCAACTGCCATTCTGTGACCGACCACACAAGCCAGCATCTGTTGCTTCTTTGTTAAATGACTATTTCCTCGAGCGAGTCTTTATTCTAAGCCCGGAACGCAGTAATTCAGACGTTATCTACTGGGGCTTTCTGTGTGCAACTCAACATGTGAAGAATGAGTACAACCGCGACCCAGTCAGACGTACAAGGAGGACTTGGGCGAGGGGAGCACTATCCCTTCAGTTCCTCACACAACTATCTATCCACAGCTTCGAATACGACAAGTCGGTCAATTGAACTTCCGCATAATTGAAGAGCACCGGAACTCTACATTACAGCACATGATAAAAATCTAAAAATTAATGAGGGATACAACGTTATTTCGATTATATAAACTCAAAGTGGTTGAAGCATTTACGCCCTCACGCCGTGCATTGAGGTGGTAGGCCATTGGGAAGGTGTGTAGCATTTAAACTAATGAAGAGCAGAATCTAACACCCCATCACCAGTCGTCTCGTCGGTAATTGATTTCTTCTAGCGGGTTCAAGTAACATCTTCATAACTATCTCGCAAACCAGAGCAGCCCAGTAGATAGTCTTCACTCGATGCACACTGCGCACAACACTTTTTTTCAAAGCATTCATGAAATAGTCCAAGAATGTGCCCGACAATAAAAATAGTCAGCAAGAAGAACTGGTTATTCCAGAAGATCCGTCCCTCCTTCTCATGAATCGCTCGAAATCAACTGTCGAAGCGAATTTGCGGGTTATGCACTGATCTTCCCTTTTTCCATTTTATTACTACTCCTCACTAGATACTTACTCGCTGCTGTTGTAAAATCGCAAGGTAACCTTTCAATTTTCCCTAACGTCTGCTACCTATACCAAATTATTCCCATTTCTCAAGTGCTCAGTAACAGAACGAAAACGTAAAGGAAAGCTGAAAAGCAATGACGAGAAAAGGCATCATGTCATCGGCGCAGACGAAGGTCTTCACAGCTCTTGGAAGAGACTAGGCAGCGAGTAATTGGAACTTTGTGAATTGATATAATCAAAAAGGATGCAAGCCTGAGCCATGATGTGCTCTTTTGGAGTCAACTAGATCGGAGAGAAGTATAGTATTTCAAGGACATGACAAAAATTCTATCTCTTCATGGATTAGATGAGAAGTTTTTTCCATAGCGGTTGCCATGAATCCAACCACAGTTACCTCACTGAAAAGTAAACCCTTTCGGATGGCTCTGGACTCTTCTATGGGTTACGGACGCGCTATATTGTGGTTGTTCCAGACAAGTTCGAGAGCTCCAAAACTTTTATGCGAACATCAACTTATTGTGCCACGTTTAAAAAAGCTGCTTTAGTTCTTTCATGTGACTGGTTGCTCTGTTGCATACCTTCACAAATCCGATACATCTATCATTCATCTTACATGAGATGGCCAGTATTTATGAAGAAGACTCAGATTAGTTCTATTATAAAGCACAACTGGGTGAACGCATAGGATTGGAACGTGTGACTAAGGCTGTGTACTCCTCAGGTCCATACTTACTTATCTAAGGCTGGTAGGGGAGAGGTAGCTGGTGAGGTTTTTACTGACCAAGAATTTCTTTCATGATTTCAAAGAAATGGGGAACCCCCTCTTCTTCTTTGAAATGACTGTAGAAGCAGAATGGCCATACATTCTCTCGTCCCTGCGGAAAGTGTGCCTCCTTCTTTATTTTGTTGTTACAATTTTTTACGAATCAGCACCGCGACTATTTTTGATTGAGCGAATTTCATGACGTTACCTAGAGGAAGTCATCTGGAATATGTTTCAGCTCTCGCTCGGTAGCACTCGAACAAAGATGAGCAACGCAAATTATGGATCCCGAAACCATGCCATCATTGGTACAAACACGCATGTTATATACCATAAGTAAGTTCGATGAGGAGTAATATTAAACAGTTTTGAAAAGCACTTACTTATGGTAAGCAGTATCAATGAGTGTGGTGGTCAGTGATCTCCTTTACCCTTCGCACTGACTGGTGTTCTCGAGGAGGATGGAAAGTGTGACTAAGTCATGACATGTGACATTGCCCAGTTCACTCAGATTACGCACATTTTCCGCACGCCCCGCCCTTTACATCCCTCATAGCCCCAACCTTCCCCCTCTCCCCACCACCCCTTCTCCTAAAAGCGAGATTCAGTTCATTCACTTTTTACCAACTACAAATAGTGTCCTAATCCTGCTGCCTGTACCCCAACCAAATTCGAATGACCATGTCCAAATTGACAGTTTTTTGCACGCGCATCCCAGTGGACGGAGTTCATTCGTGCCGCCCACCATCGTCATCCTCATAATGTCACCTGTACTCCTACTAAATTTTAACGCTCTTAATTTAAGTTTACTATTTCACGCACGCACTGCCCCTTATGGGAGCAGCCCTGACCTATCATAAATTTTTGCATTCTGCCATCCGTACTCTAGTCGGGATTAGGATTTATGAATTTCCGGTCAAACACACACACACACACACAC